ACTATCTGCTTATTGCTTTTGTTATTTATTTTTGAAAAAGATGGTAACTTTATTAATGAAACAGTGGGTACATAAGATGTACACAGAAATTACAACTCAAATGTTAAGTATGAAGAAAACTATCACTAAACAAGAAACCCCTGTGAGCACCAGCTTTTGCTAGGCCACCACATCAGAGTCTAGCTTCCTTGATTAGAGCCCTGAAGCAGGACTTAGTTGAAAATCTACCTGCTGGGTGTAGGGTCCAGACTTGAGTGTCAGGGGTATTTGGGGAGAGGTACACTTCTCTGAGAGTGTGTAGGAATGTAGATATTTCCTCAAGTTCATTTTCTCTCAAAGGTCTTCTAAAGTCTAGGTTCTAGTTGAACTGAGAGTGATATAAGGATAAGACAAGGGAGATGGGAGCTTCTTTGTTTCGAGTAAGGCTGTAGAGGCGAGGAAAGGATACAGCTGAGGTAGAGTCACCCCACCAAACATCAGTCCAGAATTTTATTTTATCCCCATTTCTTTCCCACTTTGTACCTGATAAAGGGAATGAAAGTTTGGTAGGTTGAGAGTATACCTTTCCAAGGGTTTATGTCCTTGATCCGGTTCAAGTGTAAACTGCAGTCACAACCGTTGGCGTGCTTCCCATACTTGCTGCTGATGATCTCTGTCCATAAGGCATTCGATTCCTGAGGAAATCTCCACAACCATTTACTTAGAAGAGCTGTATTTTTTTTTTTCTCTCAAATGACCTATTCCCAAGCCTCCGTCCTCCTTAGAATTGCACACCTGGGACCAATTCATGAGATGAGATCCCTTTTCCCCACCTGATAACAGTGTTAATTTCTCTTCCTTGAATGCTTTAAATTCCTCTTTCCCCCATTTTTTTAGATTCATTTTTACATACTTCAGCTTTTCCAGAAACCTGTAACTTGGCCAGCCTTCCACATACTTTAGCTTTTTACATACTTTATTGGGTTTATTCACATCAATATATTTCTTCCTGTTCAGATCTGGCATTGATTATGCTTCAATATCTTGTTCTCAAATTAAGATTTCTTATTGTCCTGGTCATATGATCATTTGAGGAAATGGTGATGATTAAATAACGAAACTCTGGCCGAGTACCAACTTGCCTATTCCTGAAAAACTGTGCTTTGTTGCATCATAATCAGTTTGACTTTACCAATAGTTAGGGTGAATTTTAGAGATTTTGAACACTATTCATTGCATTTAGAGTTGCTAAGTGTATATTCTAGTGTTTCAGGTGTGCAAGCTTGGATGGAGATGCTGATCGACTTGTATATTTCCGTGTTCTTTCAGAAAGTAACAAGATTGATCTTGTGGATGGAGACAAGATATTATCTCTATTTGCTCTATTTATCCAGGAGCAATTAAGCATTCTCAACAAGGAAAATATGGAAGCAAAAAATGGTTATCCAGTGAGGCTAGGCATTGTTCAAACAGCATATGCCAATGGAGCATCGACAGATTACCTCAAAAAGTTGGGCCTAGAAGTCATGTTTACTCCCACAGGAGTGAAGTATCTACATGAGAAAGCTGCTGAGTATGATATTGGAATCTATTTTGAGGCAAATGGGCATGGGACTATCTTGTTCTCAGAACATTTTGTATCATGGTTGGAGGGCAAAAATATTGAATTTGATAAAACATCTAAAGGTTTATTTTTGATATGGTTTCAAGTTTTTGGCAGTGTTTGTATTACTATAAGTATCAAAATTAATTGACAAATAATTTTCTTATTTCAGGTTCAGAGCAGCAAAAAGCTGCTTTGAGACTGTTGGCAGTGAGCAAGTTGATCAATCAGGCAGTGGGAGATGCTCTGAGTGGATTGCTTTTGGTGGAAGCCATCTTGCGACATAAGGGATGGTCAATCCAGAGATGGAATGAACTATATCAGGATCTCCCAAGTAGGCAACTTAAGGTCTGCCATAGACTGCCAATTATGGAAATTCTCTTATGTTATTCCATCYTCTTTGTTTTGGTACTCTGGTTTTCAAATTGACTTGAGACCTATGATACAGGGATAGTGCATAGACACTATGTATCCTATAGCATTAGCACTTTTGAAATATGTTTAATGGTATGTTTTAACAATCTATACTATAAAAACGTCTATACATGTCAGAAATTTAATAAAATTTGGCAAGACAAAGTCTTGAGAAATGACCTTGAACTCAAAAAAGCCAGATATAAAAGCACAAGACAAGCATATTAAATGGGATACCTGTACCCATGCCTGTGTGACTGTGTCCATGTCCATATCTGTATCTGGGAATCATAGGTTAAAACACTTGAATATACTAACTGCCTTTGGGTTGCACATTTTTGGAGTTTGAATACCCCTGAAAATATCCATCCATTCTTAGGGATGGCAATACATGCCTGAAAATTTGCTGATCTGAAAAAAAAAA